ATATTTTTGACTGACTTCAGAGTTGTATAGCGCTTCCCTTAATTCCAGTAATTCTTTCTATTCACCCTTATAATGGGTGGTGCTTATTTAATACATCTTACAACTTCACCAACAAGACAATTACTGTTTTCCACGCAAAATGCAATCATGAGTGACACATAAAAAAAAAATGCAAGCCCAATTCCTTGTCAATTGACCAGGACTTCCCAAACAAGATAGCAAGGATCCAAACTAACATTTTGTTCTTTCTGCATGTTTATTATTCCAATGTCAGCAAACCGTAAGACTTGATAATCATCTGAGGTTTGAAATTCCATAGAATGTTCTTCCACATAATGGAATAATAAAAGTGTGAATCAATTATGCACATGAGATTAAGCTTGTATTTAGCAGATAAAATCCTTAAAAGCAACTTCTCTTTCCCTCATAAACATAACCAAAGAACCGTATATAACATAGTTCATGAATTTACACATTTTTCTACCACATCAAAATCTTCAAGTAACTGAAGCAATATACAAAAATAAAAAACTAGGTGTTATCCATAATTATGTCGTATTGAGCTATTATCAGTCAGAAAATATATACAACTAAGGATCCAAATATCCCAAAGTTCTTGATCAAAATTAATAGAAAGTTAAAACAGAAAAAAAATAATCAGAAAATGTGCCTACCTGATGCTTGCCGCATTGTTCGCACGTGGAGCAAGGCACATATGTAACAGTACTCCCAGTATCCACTATAAGAGCAAACCTCTGGGGTGGAGTTCCAATCCAAAGACGAGTTGTATAATATCTACATCAAAGTAATTTGCCACAAATCAACAAAAAAGTAAAAGTTGCTCTGCAAGAATGTATTATATATTCATTTTCCAGTGTGATTATCTTGAATTATGGATATGTTAACTCCAAATAAAAAATGCCAATTTGTTTGCTCAATTATTACTCTAAATCACTCGTTTCAATTAAGGCATTGTTAATCTTAATACTCCAAAAAATAGAAAATTTTCTATCCAAAACATTTTATATGAGGAAACAATCGCGACTGGAATTAAGGTAAAAAAAAAAAAAAAACACAACATATACAACCGTTGAGAACAGATCGTAGCAGTGAATTGGAAGAAACTGACCCGTTGATAAGTAGATCGTCGTGGAGAGCCATTTGAGCATTCACCGGGGATTTCTGGAGAAGTCGACCAGAGAGTTGGGAAGGTGAGGAACGAACCGATGTGTCTTTGGGGGGAAAGAGTGGGAGAACCATGGCAGTCCGATGACTGGTATCCGGTACATCCGAAAAGCGCAAACATGAAACGACATCGTAATCGACCAGTGTAAATATAATGCAGAGTATCGTGAAAGTAGCGGTGAACGACGCCGGTTTCATTGCAGGTCAACTATTGCCGCCAGATATCTCCTATGAAATGTGAGATCGCCAGAGATGAAGAAAACTGACAAGATTCGGCCGGTAAAAAGGCCTGCCGGAAGGTCGGTGAGACCGGAGGAAAAGGAAAGAGTAACGGAATCTGACAAAACGGGTTAAGCAAAGCCGGGAAGGTGGAATCGAGATGGTGGGTTACATTACTCCTATTTCTGTTTTATTGAAATGCACATGGGGAGTCATGATTACCCCAAAGCGTGATACTTTTAAAAAAAAAGAAAGGGTTATATCAACTCTTTTAAAGGTCTACCCTTGACATCAATTTTTATTGCGGAAATCACTTACCTGTATACTTTATTAAAAATATTTACTATATTTGTCAACATTATTTTTTTAACCATATATGACAATTTGGCTGAATTAAATCAAATTCACTTCGTCCTTTCCATCTTTCGCTCCTAATTTTCACTCGCCGCTACGATTTTCTCTCGTTGGTGCGATTTTCTCTCGCCACTTCTTACTCACAATTTTCTTCACAAATACAGCTATACTACCTTCAGAGATGTGATTTCAGTGCAGTTTTGAGACGAATCAAGTCGAGCAGAGAGTTGAATTTGAAGTTTTTTGAAATTTGAAAGGTTAGAAGCTTTAAATTTGATTGCATGTCTTAGTTACTTGTTTAATTCATCCTTAATTCTGTATCTCGGCTATACTAACCTTCACCGATGTGTATTCAGTGATCAATTTCGAGATGAATCAAGTTCGGGCAGAGAGTTGAGTTTGAAATTTTTTGAAGTTTGAAAGGTTAGAAGGTTTAAATTCGATTGCATGTCATTAGTTACTTGCTTAATTCAAGATTAATTCTCTCTCTCGGCTATACTAACCTTCAACAATGTGTATTTAGTGATCAATTTCGAGATGAATCAAGTTTGGGCAGAGAGTTGAGTTTGAAATATTTTGAAGTTTGAAAGGTTAGAAGGTTTAAATTCGATTGCATGTCATTAGTTACTTGCTTAATTCAAGATTATTTCTCTCTCTCGGCTATACTAACCTTCAACAATGTGTATTCAGTGATCAATTTCTAGATGAATCAAGTTTGGGCAGAGAGTTGAGTTTGAAATATTTTGAAGTTTGAAAGGTTAGAAGGTTTAAATTCGATTGCATGTCATTAGTTACTTGCTTAATTCAAGCTTAATTCACTCTTCTAATTCAAGTTTAATACATTGTAATACACTTTTAATACAAGTTTAATTCATTTTTGCAGTTTGTTGGTTGATTTGTTATGATTTGACGACTTGTTTAAATTCTTTCTTCATTCACTATTCTGATTGATTTTCTTGGTTAATTCATAATAGATTCAAGTTTTATTCAATCTATAGAACACTCTCTCGTCGTTTCCTTAGTTATTTGTTTCAAATTTTTTCTTCATTCACTCTTCTAATTCAAGTTTAATACATTGTAATACACTTTTAATATAAGTTTAATTCATTTTTGCAGTTTGTTGGTTGATTTGTTATGATTTGACGACTTGTTTAAATTCTTTCTTAATTCACTCTTTTGATTGCTTTTCTTGGTTAATTCATAATAGATTCAAGTTTAATTCAATCTATAAAACTCTCTCGTCGTTTCCTTAGTTATTTGTTTAAATTCTTTCTTAAATCACTCTTCTAATTCAACTTTAATACAGTGTAATACACTTTTAATACAAGAACACTCCCCTGTCCTTCCCTTGTGCACACTATTCCTTTGCCATTTTGGTGTTTGTGCTTGCACTACAATTTGGATATCAACAGGCACTAGCAGGGGAGTTGTTGAGTCTGGCATCTCTAGTCATCTGTTCTATGTGGTATTAGTTTGGCTTCTGGCACTTTAACTGTTAACTTATCTTTTGTTTTCTTGCTGCTCATCTTTGTGGCTTCCATTTTCTTTTTGCTTATCACACCAGTTTGAGTTTTGTGTGTTGGAAGGATGTATATACTCCCCCATAGACTTTTATATAATAGTATTAATATCTCCCAGAAACATTGACATTGTACATTTGCTGAACTGAACAATAATTGAATTAGATACAGTTGTAAAAGCTAACCTGAGAATTCATCACATAAGCAATGAAAAATAGACTAATCTGCACACTTTTTAATAATGTGCAGAAAAAAAAATATGACTAATCTGGCTGTGCTGCTTTACTTCAATGGACGATGGGATCCTAGCAACAAATATACTAATTACGTGGCAGATGGTGTGTTGATAAATACGGAATCAAACTTTGCCACCCTCGTTTCTATAATTGCTACTCAATTGTCAATAGACACATCAACAAGTAAAGTTGACATCAGATATAAAATTGATGAAAGGTCTCCTCCAATTCAAATTCATAATGATATGGGGGTAAAAGTATATGTTGAAACCAAAAAGGAACATCGAGATATGGCAAGATACCCTTTGTGTGTCACAACAACTGAACCAGTCAACTTGGAGACTAATTCTACACTCATTCCACTATTATGTTCAGACACTTCAGAAGATATGAGGGTTATACACAATTCATACTTCTCTAATACATTTAATGGTATTGGTGAAGCAATAGGGTTAATTGGCTTTGGATCATGTGAGGAAGTTGATGAGCTAGAAGAATTAGCACCAGACATTATTGTTAATCCCAATCACTCTTTATTTGAGAAAGATCAAGTGTATAAGAATAAATATGTCCACACCAGTGCACTAAAAAGACATTCCATTCTTAAGCATTTTCAATTCAAGACAACAAGATCAAGCTCAATTAGGTAAGACCTAAATTCAAGTCACTTTAAATTATTGATTGTTTATTAATTTTTTTTTCAACAGCTATTCGATACAATGCTTAGGTGAAAACTGTAGTTGGAGTTTACGAGCTTCAAGCTTGAACAAATCTCAAATGTTCAAGATTAGAGAATTTGAAAGTGAACACACATGTTTGTTGCTACATAATTCATTATCGGAAAGGCAAGCAACTAAGAGTGTTGTTGGGAGTATTATTGTCAGTAAATGTGTTGAACCAGATGTTATTTACACACCAAAAGATATACAACGTGACATGTTAGCTGAATATGGTGTGTGACTCACATATATGCAAGCATGGAGAGCTAAAGAAGCAGCTCTTGAATTAGTCCGGGGTGATCCAATTCAATCATATGCAAAGTTGCCAAGCTACTTTCACATACTAGAGGCAACTTACCCTGGTTCCCATATAAGATTGCACAAATCAGAGGATGACCGTTTTCTATATGCGTTTGTAGCTTTGTTTACCTCGATAAAAGGATGGGAATATTGTAGACCAATTGTAGTTGTTGATGGAACTTTCTTAAAAGGAGCATACAAAGGGACACTACTAACCGCTAATACCTTAGATGCAGCAGGTGAGACTTTCGAATATGATACTAGTATTTTCTATATTGAATTTCTGAACTATGAATTAAAAATGAATTATAATTGCAGTAAAAATGTATTAAAATTGTATTAAACAAATTGTACATGGTGTAGGGAGTATACTGCCACTTGCTTATGCCATTGTTGATTCAGAGAATGATGCATCTTGGAGGTGGTTTTTTGAGCAATTCAGAGACGCATTCGGTTAAAGATTAGAGATGTGTATCGTTTTCGATAGGCATGCAAGCATTATTAAGGCAGCTTCGAGAGTCTATGATGAAGTACCTCATTTTGCGTGTATGTGGCATTTACTACAAAACATAATGAAAAACTTCAGAAAAAGTCAGCAAAGGGTAACTGAGTTGTTCTACTCTATGGCAAAAACATACACCATGACAGAATTTAATCAACGTATGACAATAGTTGAGAAAATAGATAAGAGGATCAAAGATTACTTGCTGAACATTGGATACAACAAATGGTCGCGTGTGCATGCTGAAGTAAACAGAACTTGGATGATGACGTCAAATATAGCAGAATCAGTCAATTCAAGAACAAGACATGCCAAAGTTCTTACAGTCTTACACCTCTTGGAATTCATGAGACAGCTTGTCCAGAAATGGAATAACAATAATAGATCAAAGGCGACATTTTCAGGTTTTCACCTTGGAAAAAAGTATGAAAATATATTGCAGCGCAATAAAACTGCATCAGAGAAATTAAGGGTATGCTTGATCTGTAAATTATTTTTGCTAATATTTTTTCTTCTGATTCATATCTAACATCTCTCTTGATTATATTTTTTTCTTTTCATAGGTTATAGAGACAAATAAATATGTGTATACGGTACTTGATGGTATTACACAATTCACAGTTTGTCTTCACCAACGTACATGCACATGTGGGAGATTTCAATTGGATGAGTTGCCATGTCCACATGCTTTGGCTGTTTTAACAATAAAGCACACTGGTTATGAGAAATATTGCTCTGATTACTATACAAGAAAAAATTTATGGCTGACATATCAGTTTCAAATGGATCCCCTGCCAGATGAAAGCACATGGAACACACCAACACATGTTCTTGAAGAGGTTGTACTTCCACCTCATGGACAGAGACCTTCGGGAAGACCAAAAAATAAAAGACATACACAACTGAGAGAAGATGGATTCAAGAAGGCGAAAATTACATGTAGCAACTGTGGACAACAAGATCACAACAGGAAGACTTGCAAAAATGTTAGGCCTTATGATCAAGAATAAGAATAAGAAATAAAATTTGTTTTACCATGATTTTCTTGGTTAATTCACAATAGATTCAAGTTTAATTCAATCTATAGAACACTCTCTCGTCATTTCCTTAGTTATTTGTTTCCATTTTTTTCTTAATTCACTCTTCTAATTCAAGTTTAATACATTGTAATACACTTTTAATACAAGTTTAATTCATTTTTGCAGTTTGTTGGTCGATTTGTTATGATTTGACGACTTGTTTAAATTCTTTCTTAATTCACTTTTCTGATTGATTTTCTTGGTTAATTCATAATAGATTCAAGTTTAATTCAATCTTAAAACTCTCTCGTCGTTTCCTTAGTTATTTGTTTCAATTTTTTTCTTAATTCAACTTTAATACATTGTAATACACTTTAACTATTGATTACCTCAATGCTTAGTTTCCTTATTGCTGTTGAATCTCTGTTGAAACACCCAAATACGAATTGGTACAATCTACACCTAATTACGAGATTCGCAAATACCCAAATACGAAAAAAAGAAACATCTTTTGTGCAAGCAAGTACCATTGCATGCCAGCACATATTTGTTCAATAAAAGCTAAGCAATCAGAAAGTGAAGAATAGACCAATATAGTTTTTCATAGCCATACTAACTACAAATTGTTTTTACACCATATAGTTTTCACAGTCATACTAACTAATATAACTATACTTCTTTATCTTTCCGGTCTTTCGTCTTCACTTTGAAGGTCACTCGCTTCCTTCCTTCTTGTATATTCCCATAATATAGCACCAAATCTCTTTCGGAGAATGTCTGCCTTTACTTGTTGATTTAGAATATGTTGGCCATTACTTACAAACTCCGCAAATGCAGCAACGAAAACTCCACAGTCCCTAAAAAATTCAATGTAAAATTATTATCAAAATATCTACTTAATACAAAAAAGAATACCTATTTGATAATACTTACAGCGAGTCATCTTGTTGTCTGGGAACACCTTTAGTTATGAAATGAAACTCAATTTTCTCGAACTCATCCATCCCACTGTATTTCGGTGTTGCCTTCAATTCAGGACGCTTATCATAGAACTTGACCACACTCAGGTAATATGGTAAAACAATTGAAAGCATCTCAACAATATTTTTAACCTCAAAATTCACCCCACCCCTTGCCGGAAATGAATCATATACCTCCAAAGACCTTTGCACAATATCAAACACGACAAGAATCCAATGACAACCCTCTTTAATGTTTAGTGGAAAAAGAATATAATCCACTTTATCCCACGAAGTGCTTGCCAACAAACGATGTCCACATATATACCGGGCAATATCATCAGAATCTTTTACTTTATAGTTCTTCTTATTCTCATGAGCATCACAAAGTTGAAAGAAAGAAGTAGTAATTTTCGTCTTGAACACACAATCAGTAGTCGTAAATCGAACATTACTGTTGACTTCATATTTTCCTTTCTTTCTTAGATAATAGAAAATGACATCAATATGCTGCAAAAAATTAGAATTGAACTGTAAAAAAGAAATAGTCTCAAGAAACAAACATTCAATTAACCTCAAGAAACTCAGTAAGTGATATTGCAACACACAAGATTCACAAAATTCTCACAAGATTCAATTAGTCTCCAAGAAGTTGTCAGTTAGTAAGTGTCAACCACTTCTATATAAAATGTTGGGAAAGATAAACACGTGGATAGTAAGACGTTGTCTTAAACAAGGAGACTACAATTGGTGTAATGTGTTCTAACCTCTATCCAAGCATTCTGGTCACAAATATTTCTCTTAATTACCTAAACATGTCGGAACAATATGGAATTCATAGTGATTCAATTTGCTCACTATATAATACAGAATCTGAAACACATCAGCACCTATTCAGTCTAATGTGATTTGGCATAAATTATTGAACTAGCTATCCATCAATAGGAACAGTTAGCACATGATACAATGAATAGCTGGAGTGGGCTACAATGCATGCGACAACTAAAGCAATAGAAACTTAAGTGTATAAAATGACACAAGCAGTAGCAATAATCTACTTCATATGGCAGGAGAGAAATTACAGAATTTTTCAACCCAAGGAACACAAAGGTGCTCACTAGACAAATCATTCAGGAAATTCAACAGCAGAGGTAGTATGACTCCTAGAATGGCAAGCGTTATGAATAACAAATATTGACGTCCAATTAAACTTTATACAACTAACCTCATCACACCATTCTTGTCCAGAATGTGCCAATTTGAAAAACCAGTGTCTTTCTGCTACATTACAAATACCTAATTCAAATGCTGGACTGATAACATTAAGAGCATCTGTATAAGGTTTCTTTCCCCTATCAAAACATAAAAAAATTACAACATAAATACTCAGAAACGGGACAGCAACAAATAAAAAAGAGGTAACTAAGGAAACTAAAGAAGAGTGAATTAAGAAACTTGTATCTATTATGAATTAGAGGTAACGAGAGAGTTCTATAGATTGAATTAAACTTGTATCTATTATGAATTATGTAAGTTATTCAATAGTAACAAATTAACCAACAAACTTCAAAATGAATTACCTCTTCTTTGTACCCATATAAAGCCACTTAATGAATGAATCGATCAAATCCGATTCATTATCTCCTCCAGTTGCATATGAAAAAGGATGTTTTGTCTCAAAAAACTGACGTGTTACACATAAAGTTCCTCCAGATTCGAATGTTGTGTGTAGGGAGATGTTATTAACTTTCCTGGATTTTTCTTTCTGCCATGTTTCTTCGGTGTCACTTTCTTTTTGTTTTGATCAACATGGGCTCTTTTCTTTAGATAAGATTCTTCGGTCCTATTGATCTGAGAAAGATCTTCATCAAGAAAAATAAAATCATCAAGAGTATGCAAAGGTTTTTGACAATCCTCTGTTGCATCTGCATACAATAGACATATTGATTAATTTACAGTCAACAGATGCAACACTTATTTATGTTGGCTTTGTTGACTACATTACCATAAGGTTGCGCCCCAACTGTATTCACATCAGCAACCTCTTGGACTGTAAGCAAAGTAAATATTTTAATAATGTTATTAAAATAAAATGAAAGAAGTTTATTTGAAGTGAAGAAAATTAATACCATTTATATCAGCAACAACCTCTGACAAAACTTTTTCAATAGCAATTCCTGCAACATCTTCTTCTGTACATAACAAAAACATTTAAAATAAGATAGTTGAATTAACATATATGAAATATGTAATATATTTGTATAAAACCCTTCATTACCTATTTTACTTGATACTCTTTCAAAATTTTCAACGTCAGCAAATCTAACTGAAGTTTTAAGCACTTGAGATTCTTCATTTTGATTTGATCTCATAACATGAGCATCGTGACCTCTTGATTCATTTACAGATGCATTAACATAGGGAGAGAATGTTGTATATGTAATTAACACATATTATAAGAAAAACATATTAAAAGTATATTATGACTATAACAGAAATGTATTGAAAATATAAAGAAACCTCCATTGAAATCTAATCCACCCAAAAACGTCTCGCCAGCCTGCTTCTTAGATGGTTCCCTGACTTCTCTGATAACAGAGCTGCTGCCACCATTCTTAGCAAACAACGAAGAAATATCCTCCAATAATTATTTGTTAGAATTCACCACAAATTCTTTGATTTCATTAAATCCTAAATCAATCTTCTCTTCAAGTGCTTTGTTATTTTCATTCACCTAGTAGATATTAAACCATAACACAAAAATTAAAAATATAAAAGTTTTAGAAAAAAAGAGCCTAAAGTCAAGTTTGTATATACCTTTACAAGTTCTTTTCTCAATTCAATAACTTCATTGGTCAACATGTCTAGACCATGACTTGATCCTTTAGGCTCCAATTTCAAAATTTCAGCATTGTAATCACGAGGTTCAAGAAGCCTGCATTTAGATACTTCATCTTCACTAGCCACTATGTTCTCAAACTGAAAAACCAAATAAACAAAATAAAAATAGATATAGTAACTTGAGTAGAATTAAACAATGCCATAAAATGTATTAACTTTGTACAAATACCTTATTTTTTGTAGGCATGAAGAGACATTTCTCAATATATTTTTGCCATGGACTTTCGGCAATTGTCTTCCAATTTAAGATTCTTGGAATTGAGTTAGCAACCCGAATGGCTATATCTTCATCAACTTTTGAACAACACTCAAAAATCCAAATTTGAAGAGCAAGAGGCAAGCCACCTAATCTATAGTATTTATGGGTTGACTTAAGCTCATGTCTCACAGAATCAGACAACTTTTTATAGACATCTAAACCCCACGGATATGAATTGAATTGTCCACTTTCCACAAGGTAAAAATCTCTATTACTAATTTGGTATTCGTTGTCCTCATATGAAAATAAAAAATCATTAATGAAGAAGAGGACAGCCAATGAAACAGCTGAGTCATCATCTAGGAATTTTTTAGCTAGAAACAACGCACGTAGATGACTCTTTGCAACAATGATTTTTTCCGAAAAATAACTACTCAACAAACTACATTTA